ATGCAAATTGAGGTCTTCCATTTGCCCTTGAAGCATATCCTTTGATTTTTGGAGTGCACCTGTTTCCCTTGCGGTTTGTATCTGTTGAAAATGAGTAAACCAACAAATATGTGCAGTTTCACATGAAGCTTTGGAAAGTCGAAATTGATAGAATCATAAGGGTTTCAACTGCAATTGAAAAGAAATCGACCCATTTAAGATACTTCAGGGGGTTGGGCCATAATGAAGGAGGTGGTCGACTGTGAAGAGGATGGCGACGATGGAGGTTTCCAACGAGGATGAAGATGATTGATAAAAGCGATAGCGAGGACGAGTATTGAAGTTTCTGGAGAGGACCAATGGTGGAAGTAAGGAAACGTTCCTTGGATCGATTGAAGTTTCTGGAGAGCTGCGTCCAGGGCAAGGGAAAGGCGTCAATTTTTCAGTAAGCTTCTTTATTTCATTCGATCGAGTATTGAAGTCTGAAGAACGTAATTCCGCCGGTGGAGTGGAGGCGATGCGATGGAGAAGAAGGCGCCTACAAAAGGAGAAGGGCAATGAGGGAAAATATGATGTTGGTCTCGGTCAGGAGGTTTTGAGATGAGGACCGAATCCTCAAATTTCTTTGGACCGAGTTTGTGGATAAAAAACCCAAATCAAACGCAACAACTTCTGATTGAGGACCGAGTCATCCTTTCTGACTTAGTTAGCATCATTATCAAACAAGCTCTAACACACGCATCACACACCCTCCCCCCAATTAAGAACCTAAATCACCTAATTAAGCCCATCTACACTGTGAGTATGAACACAAGCCTCTGTATTCAGTTCACTCACAACATGGTTGTGATACCAACTAGTAACATTGTGATTTTCACCCAAAAATTTTTCTTTTATTTTAACCAATTATTATTAGAAAAACATTAGCAGAAGTCTTATAAAAAACATCATCAATAGTTATTTAGAAAATCTTTCAAAATCAACCAATCAAAATCCATAGTTGTAAAATCTAACCAAAACAAACACCAAAAACCCAATGTAAATGAAACATCACATAAAGTCTCAAACTTGTATCATCTCTATTATTCAAAAGGACTATAACTACCCCTAAGAACCCAACCTCACCAGGCCATCAAAAATCAAGCTACATGTACCAATGCAAGCGACAATAATAGGCAAGAAACAATTGTCGACATCAACACAGTGAGTCAATCTCAAGCACATAAGCATGGAAACAAAACATACATATACATCATGTCAAGTCATGTAAGACATTGATCCATGCATTGTTCATCGATAAACATTAACATATACGAATATACATTAACCTGGACATTCTTTCATCACAATAATTATTTATTTATTTGCTTCCATTTAATTACTATTAATTCCACTTACTAACTAAGTTCTATTCATCGCTAACACTCCCCCAAATAAAGACTTTGTTCCTTACTAGCGTGACTTGGCGACCTAGTGCACTAAATGAGGAATGACTCCCACATGTAACATTGTCCCTCTTCACTACTCTGACCTTGCGCGTATAAGACAATGTGTTGTCGTTCAAGGGGGCTTTAGTAGAACATCGATTGCATGCCTACACCCAAAACGTGATGCTTGATCCAACCTCATCAATGGCCAACATCACTCCAATTGTGGTACACGATTGTACCAGTACCATGTCTCGATATAGTCATCTAGAAAAACATTCGACGTCGACTTGGCTTAGGCTCTTTTCCTCGATCGATAATCTTACATCGCAACAACTCATCAGGGGCACGTACCTAAGTTAGGTTTCTACCCTTTAATCACACTACATGTATTTACCCTTTAATTTATTTAAGTAACATTCTCTTATATGGGCATAACACACAACTCACCAATATAATTAGGTAATCATGCAGGTGAATTAATAATATTAATCCATGGCATACTACATCTATTTAACACACAATCCAAGGCATATCAAACACAAGGTATATATAAAAATATATCATGGAATATAATTAGATACACCTTTCAATAACCCAACATCTAGCATGCATTTCCTCGTTTCATTCTAAGAGTGAAAATTATAGATATTCTCTTTTGGTTCGATTTAGTAGATTCGGTGGAGCACGCATGTATCTTTGTGTACTATTGATCCACTTGGATTTTGATTTGACGATCAGATAATCAAAATGAGTCGGCTATACGCATTCAAACATTAAATCTCCTAATTTTGGCATTAATAAGCATAAATTACTTTTAAGTGTTTATTTACGCATATATAGTTAGAATTTTTTTACACATACATATCTATAATTTTATTGATTTAACCGTTGAAATTTTGAACATATTTAGGATGTTTTATTGGTTTAAATAAGATCAAATAGTGGTTTGTTTACAAAATATATTGTAAACATTCAATAACATTAATTTAAATAATTTCGATTTAGTCTATTATGTGACTATATTATGTGATTATGAGTCTGCCTCGGGACAAAGTATGACCATCTCCACCTTGACTTTGTCTTTTTACTTCGATTCAATATTTGTTAGAGTCAAAACATATAATTTTGAAGGATATTTAGGCTAATATGGATAACATGAAATGGACTCGAATTATAAAGGTACAAGTATCGATTTAAGACCAATTAGGGTGTGTAAAATGTTTTGTATGGATGTAAAATGTACAAGGGATTGAAATGTTTAACTAAAATTTAAAACTTGGTAATTATGCAAGGAAATGATAAATTTTGTACTGATAAATACTTGTATGTTATATGAAGTTTGTACAAAGTAATAATATAAGGAATTGAATTTTGACACAATCTAAAAGTGGCATTACATTGGAATTATATTAAGAATAGGATTAAGATCGAAGGTAGAATTAGAAAGATGTAATTATACAATGGTATACAAAATTTGGTAAGTATTCCTTTGACAAGTAAACTAGTTAAGTAATTGAAAGTATGGAAGATATTTGTCTTAGATGAAATGAAACATTGACATAGATAAAAATGTTTTAATTAAAGGAACAAAGTTGTGAGATTGAGGAAGAAGTTAGTTAGGCTAACTTCCTGAGATGGAGTACGTATGGACATTCTCACTTTTAGGTATGTCACAAAGTTATATATTTTCATTGCATGATTTTCAAAATGATACTAGTATATGGTATCCTATCATTCACATAACTTGTCAAATCAAGAGGTACATATAGTATCACACTCACAGTGGGAGAGGGGGGGGGGGGGGGATGTGGGATCCACCTTAGTTTTGCCTTTTTACTTCGACTCAACCCATCAAAAGCAGGGTCCTGAGGAGTTAAATATCCTCAAAGATCCCGGACGAACAAGAAAAAAAGTCTCTTGTCGTTATTATAAGTTGTTATTTTAAAATAAAAAGACATAATAATAAAATTTAGGCCTTATACAGCTGCCCACTCCCCCCTCTCTCTCTCTCTCTCTCTCTCTCTCTCTCTCTCTCTCTCTCTCAACGCCCCCGATGAAAGTATCATTTACTCCCCCCGTCCCAAAATTATAGTCCATCTTTCCTTTTTGATTTGTTCCAAAATAATAGTCCATTTCTAAAAATAAATAACATGTTTACCAAAATACCCCCTCATTATTACTTAACAAACTAAGCATTTAATGGAACATTAAATGCAAAGTAAAGACAAAATTGTTATTTTATTATATAAAGTTAATGGTAATTAATATTTTTCTTAATCTATATGTTTTTTTTGTCTGTGGACAATAATATTGGGACGGAATGAGTATTTTATAAAATTGGTCTTTTTTTTTTATATATATAAAATTGATTTGATTTTATTGATTAAGTTTTGTTTTTATTGGATGATTGTCGTTTTATAATATTATCTATTTTTCATGGTTTAATTGTAATTGTAATCTGTTAATATAATTAGTGGATTCAACTGATTTCGAATCCGTATCATCAACCAATCTGAATAGATTGGATTTCTAACAAGTTTATTTTAATGTTTTGATGTTACATATTGAATCATATGAATGAAATTGTATGACTTAAAATAATTAACATTATCATGTTTTAAGAAATATATATTTAAAAATACAACGATTGATAAATAAATAAAATCTTAACTTCCTCTATCGCAATTCTCAAAGCCTCAAACCTCAAAACATAACTAGCGGTCCAAGTGGAAGCTATCTTCTATCGAGGCTGATATACGGTCACAAAGAATCGTCTTTGATCCCCAAGCGAAGTTGACCCGCCTCCATAAATACAAATTATATTTGATCCGGATCTTACGTAGACGTCTACATTTCCCCAACTAATCAACACGAATATAGTCTCCTTTTTCCTTCTTTTTCTTAATCTCTTCGTTTACTGCAACATGGGACAAATCCTGGAAAAACTTCAAGGTGATTTTCTTCATATACCTGTTTCTTGCTTTTCACCTTCAAATCTCGCGTCTGTTGCTGCTAATTTCCATCAATTTCGATTAGGGTTTTGTTTACTTTGAAGATTGATTGATTTTATGATATTTTTGCTGATAAATATCTACACCTTTTTTCATGTAAATTGAATCACTTTCTTCGATTAATCCCGGATCCTGCTTTTGCTCTCCTGTGGTTCTGTTGTAATCTATCGGGGTGGATTTTGGTTTTGTTTGATTTAAACATTGATCAATTTATTCATGTTTTTATGGTATAATAAATGTGTATAAATTTAAATTCGAACCCCTTTCCCTGACTGTTCCCAATTCCAGTTCTTGTTTTTCATTATGGATTTGGGGTTTGTTAAATTTAAAGATTAAATTGATTCCATATGATCCTAACAAATTGTATAAATCGTTCCATGCTTTTCAATTTCTTGCAATTCTCACACGACTGATGGGGTATTAGTTTGTACTATTTCCAATGGTTTTAATTTTGACACTTTGTACAGGCAAGCAATGGAGAGAAAAGCAAATACGAAAGATAAGTGACAAAGTTTTCGATCGTTTCAAGAATGATGACGGAAGGGCAACTATGTCATTTGAAGACTTATACATCGCCGTGTTACTTGTGTTCAAGTAAGATCATTTATCCCCATTCATTACATGACACAACATCACAAGTTGTAATTGTTTTTGCAAAAGACGTAAATGCCCTTACTGTATATACAAAATGTTATATTATTCCTTAAAAACCTTGATCTTGAACTTATGCAATTGATTCTATTCGATTGTAGCGATCTCAACAAGAATTTGCCAGGGCCTCATTTTGATCCCCCAAAGAAGGACGAAATCAAAACCTTGATGCAGGTGTGTTAAAAATTGTATTAGCACACGTGTTCATATACAAATTTTACTTTGTGGGTCCCATAGCGATGGTATTTTCTTTAATTTTTTTTTTTTTTTGTTTATTTGACTTAGGAATGTGATATGGATCTTGATGGGGGACTCAATCGTGAAGAATTTGAAGAGTTTGTGAAAAGGCTAACAGCGGATACGTTTGTGTATGTGACTCAAGGACTCCTCATCACTCTAGCAATAGCACCAACCGTTGCTATAGCCACAAAGAGGTCAACCGAAGGTGTTCCAGGCATTGGAAAGGTGGTTCAAAAGCTACCCACTTCAATATACGCAAGTCTTATCACTTTGGGAGTTATGATGATCCAAAAAGCTAATGAGTAAATTAGTATTGAAAATTCATGTATGGTGTTGATTTGGGTGGTGTTAAGGTTATGTATATAAGGTATTATCAATAATCCTAAAGTTGGATGATGGGTTTTGTGATTTTGTAAGATATATGTATTCAATATCATGTGGAATGTTAACGTGATCGTATATTTCATCTAAATCATTTTATTGCATATTTATAGTTTTGGAAATGATGGAATGAAACGTATATTTCATCTAAATCATTTTATTGCATATTTATAGTTTTGGAAATAATGGAATGAAACGTGATCGTATATTTCATCGAAATTATTTTGATGTATATAGATTACGAAAAATATGAATCATGGTTGCCTCACGTTTGTTCCATAATAAAATAAGTAACAATCTTCAACTAATTCCTATTCCTAAAAAATGTTAGGTTATTAGAACAATAGTCGATATTATTCGTTCAGAGTTAACACAAACTTGTACTTTTAAGATCAATGCTTAAGTGCATATGGTGTAAATTTATTTATTTATAATAAAATAAGATACCCGGTTAATAAGGATCTAATTTCTTTTTTAAGTAACATGATCACTTATGAACCTTAATTGCATTTGAAGATCTAACATAGCAAAAACCACACAAATAGGTGAAACGTAATGTTAGCCACACAAATGTCCAAAAATCTTAAATAAATTATGAAAAAAATCTGAATAGCAAGACCTGGTCTCATGATAGTTTCTAACACATGCACGAAAAATGAATCGGAGATTGAAAAGGTCTATTACGATGTTTGGACATATAAAACAATGCCTTAAAGGAAGGAATGTAAGAAAGAGAAGAACATGTAGAAAAGGGAAGAATTCTGAATGAGAGATACAAACACAAAAAAGTAGTTAAAAATGGGAGATGGAAAGGATGATGACTTCATAATATCTTTAATCACTTCTTTATTATGTTTTCTTGTACTTATTGGTGGTGTTTTTCTTATATTATATTTTTGCGAGCCACATGCTACCCACCCATTGTTCGCAGTGGCCGCTTTACTACTTATCGGCTCTCCTTGGATCTTTTGGTTTTTGACGTATTTGTACATGTGCATGAAGGCAACGGGTCGGTGGGCAAGATTGATGACCGGAAGATCTAAGTGACACTGTCTTGGTGGTATGGTACGACAGTTGTGGTGGTGTGGTGGGTGATGGAGATTGGAGGAGGTTGTGGGTATTTGGCAAAACGGGTATAAATTCTATACGTTCTTGATGCAGAAAGAATGCGTAAATATTATGGTAGCTTTACAATTGTTTATTTTGCATCATGTAATTTTGCCATTTGATGAAATCATAAATAGTTGTTGAAGATCAAATAAAGAAATGATTGTTGAATGTCGATTAGTGATTGTGATGTTGATGATGATGATTATGCAAATAAAGTTAGTATTTTTTGTCTTATCATTATTTGCTTGAATATGTCTTGTAGTTTATTTCATACCACAATTGATATATATATATATATATATATATATATATATATATATATATATATATATATATATATATATATATATATATATATATATATAGGGTTAGGTTCATTTGAGACCACCTATATTTTGTGAGACCGTAAGACGCATTTTTTTTATTTTTTTTAGTTAATTCAAGTTCCGAAAATAATATTAAAATTTTTTTTTTGGATTTTTTTATTTATTTTGCATTTTAAAATTATTTTTAGATTTGGTCTCACGGTCTCACAAAATTAGAATGGTCTCAAATGAACCAGAACCTATATATATATATATATATATATATATATATATATATATATACACACACACACACACACACACAGAGAGCTAGGTTTAGGTGTTTAAAATAATTATTGATTTATTGTATGCATAGATGTAAGTCAATCAAAATTTAAAATAAAAATAAATAATTAAATAAATAAAAAAATAAGGGTAAATAGGTAATTTGATAATTAATTTCCACAAATAATATTCTATAGTTATGGTAACTATTAACTTCAGCTACCTAGGTTTTCTCCATTCATCGTCCGCTTTTTAAAACCACCGCCTACACCGTTACTGCCGAGGTTGACGGGCACAACACAACCATAATTACCGTCATCACTGACGGTCCTCCACCACTCGTCGCCTTCATCCACCAATGTCGCGCACCTCTGACCCCTCCTCTGTCTGCGAAAACCCTATCACAAGTTTGTGACGGCAAGTATCTATCCCCCGACTCCTATTATTGATCGCCATCATTTGAAAAATCCCAAACATCAAAAAGGTATTTGATTTGATTGCAATTTAGATTCCGAAGAAGATTTGAAGATGTTTACATAACCTGTTTGTAAGTTGTTTCTTCCCCACTTGTTGTTCTGATCATACCATGTCACTCAAAAACTTCAAGAATGTGTGAATTGTTGCAATTTCAAAGAACTTACCATCTAAAGCTTCGGCGATAGCTTCGTCGTTGGCTCTGAACCCCTCTAAGAGAGTGATTAAACACCACGGTGCAGATGTACTGAGGAATCTACCCGGAAGAATTGGTTTTCTTTACAGGTTTAATTTCTCCGATTTCTGGTGGCAAGATCGGCGATCACAAAGATCTCGGCTCCAAAAACCCGTTTCTCTGCCTCAATTTACCCAGGTTTGTTTACTTTATCTTGTGATTTGTTTCCATTTATGCTTATGAATATAACTCGTATAGTGTTGGAGGTTGAAAGGTGTTACAGTTTAGTAGCCGTTGTGGTCTAGTAGGATTTGATAGATGTTGAAAATGTAAATGCCCCTTTCAAGCAACCATTCAATTGAATTAGAAAAGGAAATTACTGTAAGATCTTACTTGTCTTTGAATCTATTCCACTTTATTGTGATTGAATTCCAGTTATGTTTAAGATTGTTAATCATTGTGCATATGCCTAAATCATCATAAACTGATTGGATCTTTTGTTTATTTTTTTCCTGTATGTAGGGTATGATGAAGCTTATTAGAACTATTTTATCACACAAACAGGTAGTTATCACTACAGTTATTCTCTTTTTACCTACAATTGCAAATCTATTCATGGACATAATCTTAACATATTCCATATTTCTCACAGGGACAGCAAAAAGAGCACGATTTTAAACGTGGTGAAGGTTCAAAAAGTGAAAGAATGCAAAGGCTAAAACTGTGACTAGAACCAATTCTGTTGGAATGGAATGACGAATTCTGTTGGAATGGAATGACGAATTCTAATTCTGTTGGAATCACAGAAGTTGATGCTTGAAGAACGGACCACGAAATTGAAAGGGACCACATTATTCTTTTAGAATGTATTAGTCGTTGTTAAATTTTGATATTTTCTTTCCCGTTTTGATTGTTTTTTAGTTTTATTCTTTAACAGTAAATGTAATTCTTAACAATTGTTACTCATATTCTATAAGAAATAATGTATTTTTTTTTATTCTTCAATTGATTGTTCAAGAATTTGTTATTCTACAAGAAGTTTTTAAATTCATGATCAAGAAATAAGTTCAAGAATATTTTTATTATTTATGGTTCAAGAATATTTTTATTTTTGAATATACTCATAAACATATTCTATGAGAATGTCCGAATTAAAAGAATTGTAATTCGTAAAATCAGATTTTTAAAATTAATAGAATCTATGATCCCTTAAAAAATGCAATTTTCCTTTATTAAATCTATATTAATTGACTAAATTACCCTTGTAATTAATTAAGATCATATTTTTCAATTATATTTAATTCAATAGTATATATTAATCATTTTCTTAAAATAAGTAAATTTGATTGGTCCACATTTATGCAAACAATAACACAATAATTACTTTAAATAGAATAACATAAACCTCTATATATATATATATATATATATATATATATATATATATATATATATGTGTGTGTGTGTGTGTGTGTGTGTGTGTGTGTTTATAACAAATGGCATATCTATATGTTCATATACAGTGAGAGATTTCATATATATATATATATATATATATATATATATATATATATATATATATATATATATATATATATATATATATATGCATTTTGTTATTGAAAATAACAAAGTTAATATTTGATATTTATAAGTCACTGGTTTGCAAATCGGTATGTGAAGTGAAAAAAAAAAAAACTTGGGAATATGATATTGATTGAAACTTATTAGAATTTGAAAACAGACTAGATAATGTGGAAATATATTATTATGAACTTATTGATGAAGTGACAAGTTTGGAGGCTAGGCAACGCAATATGGTATTGGACTTCATTTTATGCTTTAAACATTTTTTAAGTCGCTTGCGTACCTTTGAGATTCCATTACTGGCCTCATAAGTTAAGGACTTGCGACAACCAGCCATCAGGTGTATGTCTAAGCAATCTAAGAGAGTTTATGACTTCAACTAACCAAATTGAAATCATATGTGTGCCACCTCCAACACTAGAGGTGTGAATTACATTAACGAGACATGTCATGGACTTAATTTGAAGTTTCATTGAACTATTTAATCGTCATACCATGATGTTGGTATGTGGGAGCTAGACAAGTACTTCAACAATTTCAATGTACCTTAAACTTATGTCATTCACATTGAGTTTAAAATTATGTGATATTATTAATCTAGGTTGCATTATATAACACGTTCCTCCTTGGTGTATTTATGGTAAACAATTAGTTAATTATATTTACGTTAAACTACAAATTAGTATTGCAAACTTGAATTTATTATTTAAGTTAAACTTAGGACAATAACCCGATGTTTGGCTACCCAAATCCTTATTTTTAATAAACATATTTTGATATATCAACAGGTAATAAAGACTAAAAATTTAGTCCAATATGTCATTTTTTTGGTTGCATCAGCTACATGTTTTTGTTTTCGCTCATCTCCTTGTGATAGTATCTGAGGGTTGTTATGTGGTTTTCCAGCTTGATGTTTTTCCATCAATGGTGGTCTAATTTTAATAGTTCCTTAGGTAATCCCATCGGGAGGAATGCATAACAAGATTCATTGGTGCCTTCGACCCGTTCAAACTAGGAGAAAACTCACCTTACAAAGAGAATTGTGAAATCTCGTGTGAGGAATCTCTAACAGCTGCTCCAATGACTCTCCAACTATCATTATCATAAAATCATTCAGTCAAAATTCAATAATCCTTCTTAGAGTAAAATGACCACTTTACCCCTGGTCCAAGTCAACATTCTGGTCAAAGTCAACATTCTAGTTTAACTCAACTCGCCGAGTTGACCCATTAACTCGTCGAGTTCTATGAATCAGGAACCCTGAAATCGCGATCCAACTCGTTGAGTCATCCCTCTGACTCGCTGAGTTCCCTTGCTACTCATAGACGTGATAAAGCGAGTCAATTCGTCGAGTCCTTCCTCAAACTCGTCGACTTCTACCTAGTACGGACTCGGGACAAATCGACTTAACTCGTCGACCAAGATCTAGGTCCATAGAGGAACTCGACGAGTTCCTCAGTTTGTTTGGGCCATCTTAATGGATTAAGCCCCTACTCTCCAGATCTAAGCTTCATATTCTCATAAACACTAAAATGTCATTTTAACGGTAAAGTTTCCAAATTTACCCGTTAATACATTTACTTAATGGGTTTAGCTCAAACCTTAACTCTTTAGGACCTAGATATTGGTCCAACGGCCATCCATGCTCCAAAATAAAGCATATAAACAGAGATCTAGACCTTAACCACTACATGAACACGTAAAGCTTCCACATTTCATTCCATGCATGGCCTTTTGGAGCTTAAAAGGCCAAAATGACATCCTATGGCTTGCATGGGGCTTCAATGGCCATAAAGTTTGCACCTTTATGCCATGAAATCCCTCCATGATTCCATATATGATTGTTCACTCACTTGGGATGTCCATATCCCAAAGGTCAAGCTTCTTGGACAAAAAAACCCAATAAAAATACGCGTGTGCGCGGCCCACCATGACAAGAAGCGCAGAGTGCACTAAAACTCCATTAGATTTCTGAAATATGTCACACTCTGCATGGAGCCACGTCACCCATTCGAAAAAGTGCAGTTAACGCACAGACAGGGTGTGTGGCACACCTTCAGATATTTTTGGTACAAATAGAGCTTCAACCCTCCATTTTATCTCTACACCGTCCAAAACTTCTCTCTCGAGTTTCTCTCAACCTTAGCCCCATTTTCCCATAGTTTTGTGTCCATGGCGAATCCTTAAGGCCCCTGAGAGTCCAAAATCTAGTAGTGTAACGCCCGTAGATCCGGGCTAGTCAATTTAGAGGTAATAGGGGTCGAAAATGACTTTTCGACAAAAGATTATTTAGAATAAATAATCTTAACCAAGTTGTAGAATATGTCACAAGGTTTCCGTACATATAAAGAGCGTCGAAATCGGAGTTATAACGAAGAAGTTATAACCCGTCGAAGTTTCGCGACGGAACCGACACGGCACCGGGAAGCGTAAATAGTGATTTTACGATGCAGGAATTTTTAGCCTTAGTGGTCTAAACGAAAGTCGTATAATATGTTAAACCGAGAAAATCCATAAAAAGAACGCCCAAATCTGACTTCGTATGAAGAAGTTATGATTTTTCTAAGATTCGGTTTAGCAGTGCACGACCCGAAACTCGAATTTTAGTTCGAGCAGTTTTTGGCTTACGTGACTTAAATGAGAGTTCCAGATCTCATTATTAGGAACTTAACAATAAAAAAACAGACGAAAACAGAGTCCGTATGAAGGAGTTACGAATTCTTCGCGGTCATTTAACAGTCTAAACGCCTCGTACTATTAAATTTAAGATCGGTCGAGAATTAGCCGACGGAGTCAAAATGAAAGTTGTAGATATTATTTTTACCTACGCATGGATATAAATAACATCAAAAACGGAGGTCTTATGTGAAAGTTACGGATTTTAGAAGTCGGAAGTGTGTTGTGCGAAAATGGGTGATGTGGCACAATCTTGGCCATTGCTTTCTCCCCAAGTCTTGCCACTAGATGGTGACATGTGGCACCAAGTTCAACCATTTTCACCCTATAAATAGAACCTCTCCCACCCTCATTTTCTTCACACCTTTCTCATTTTTTCTTATCTTTACTCTCTCTCTAGAACCTCTCTTTAGCCCCGAAACCCCCCGGAAAGCCTAGGGAACCTCCCTAGCACAAGGCGGAAGCCCTTGAGTGCTCAACGACTCCTAGAAGAAGAGCTTTTCTGCATGGGAATGCTGCTCCAAGCAAAGCCTGATTTTCTATAAAACCCGTTGTAAGTGAGCTACGCCTACGCTATTTTTAATATAGTTTTTATTTAATTATATTAACGTTATTAAGAACATATAATAAGTAATTGGGCTATTATTATGGGTTATATAAGTATTATTTAACGGTTATATAATAGTCTTAATAGCTAGACTATTAATTAGTCTCGGTGAATAATAGACTAAACTCTAGTGGTAATAATACTAGGTTTCGTCGAAGGAAATTATTATTTTTCAAGAAGTGAAGCGCTGTCTGAGTTTGGAATCACCACCTTTTCAAGTGAGTGCATAGGTACTTTCATCTTACACATAGATATAAAGTATTTTATATAAAATACGTGCTATGTGTGCATATTTTCTATATACTTGCTGTCTATGTTGGATGAACGTTTTTATACATGTTTTAGATGATTTAAACCGTATACGTATTTTATATACACGAATATGTTGGGTATGATACGGGTAGATGAATGATGAGAGATAAAAGATGATGTGAGTAAACATTGGCAGCTATAGACTTAGTGCCTAACTAATAAACATCGGCAACTATGGACTTAGTGCCTATTGGACAAACACCGGTAGCTATGGATTTAGTACCTGTTAAGGAATTGGTAGCTATGGACTTAGTACATATTAGATAAACACCGGTAGCTATGGATTTAGTACCCGATGAATAGACTATAGCAGCTATGGAATTAGTGCTTTATGAACGAACATTGGCAACTATAGATTTAGTGCCAGTCCTATAACCCTGGAAGTAAGGGACTTCGGAATAAACGAATGCAGAATAGATGATTCTTAGGATAAATCCTTAAGAGTAAAGAAGATAATGGGGATGGGTAATTGGGTTGATTGTTTGATTGTTTAAACATAATAATTATATTATTGTGGGTTGAAAACCCTATGTACTCACCAGGTT